CTTCCAAGTCCTGAAATCTTTGGAAGAATAACCCTACAAAAATTCTGGCAGTTGTTTTTATTAATGGTGCGAGGGTGGTAATCACACAGGTTGGAGGAGAGAAGGATAGAACTGAAAACAAAACTAATTCATTTCAGTTTTTAGATGGGGTGCCTAGGGGGTACATGGCACCTACGTAGTCTAAAGTCTGGGAGTTCTGGGTGCTTGTATGTTGTTGGTGTGGATTTAATCACCTCATCTGATGTATGTTTTCATAGAGTGACAGATACTTGCTGTTCCACTTCTGAACATATTTGCTTTGATACGCTTGGGGGAAAAGACCTCTATTCAGCCAGCGTGATTCAGCCAGTCCATGGGGCTGCTTATCTTTAAACACACATTGATAAGCAAGCTAGCTCAGAGCCCTCAGAATTTTGACTTAGTTAAGTTTCCTTTCTTTTCTCTCAGCTCCCTATTCTCACTCCATTTGTGTAGGTCAGACACTTGGCTTCTCATTGGTTAAGAAAATAAAGGCCAGTAGAGCACCAAGATTTTCATAAGCAAAGTCACCACTTCAGAGCCAGCAATTGACCCTTTGTTTTCTTAGCGTCTATCCTTCCCGTGAAGCTCTTACTTTTGAGCCCTGAGTACTGCAGGAATATAACAGCATACTCTCCGGGAGCTTGCTCCTCAAAGTGTGGTCCATGGGCCAGCAGCATCAGCATCACTGGGAGCTTGTTAGAAATGCAGAATCTAGGGCCCACTACAGACTTAATGCATAAGAATCTGCAGGTTAAGTCAGCGAAGCACTGGTTACACAACACTGCACCTTAAGGAGTGGAGGCATCTCATCTACCAAACAGAGCTCCCATGGAAGTCCCACAAGTATTCCTCGAACTCAATAACGAGTGCTAACTTGGTGCTCAGGAGTCAGAAATCAGGGCACCCAACACGTAGTGCATGGCTTCAATGGGGGTCTGCTGCTGTTTTTGCTCTTTTCTGCTCTCTGAGAAGGGATGCACTTGTTATATTTTAAGTCTTTCCCTCTACTGAGATGTAAAGCATCTGGATACTTGGGACATTGCTCCCGCTTTATTAGAAGGCTCACAACAAATACCATTAGAGTCTCTTCCAGGGAGTGACATGCTCTCTTTCTATGCTCCATCAATACCTTGTACGTCCCTACTAAGAATGTGCCACTCTGAATTGTTCATACATCCCACTGCCCCGCTCTCCACCCCACATCATATTGCACAATTGTTTCTGGTCTGGAAACATGTTTTATAGAGTTTTGAATATCCTGCACCTAGCCTAGTGCCTATCACTGAAGGAAGGAAGGAAGGAAGGAAGGAAGGAAGGAAGGAAGGAAGGAAGGA